CATTCAACCCTGTAGGGACATGGTATCTGTTTATGCTGTGGGGATGCCAGTAAAATGGAGGCTCCTTTCTGCTTGAAAACATAATATAGGGCACCAGGTAGGCAGCAAGTGCATGCTTCCCAGTAATGAATCTGACATTTGTGGCTTTGACTCTCAATGTGAAGTCTGAACATATACTTACAATAGAAACTGTATAGTTCATTCTCGTAATCCTGGTACTCTAGATAATGAGGCTAGAGGATCAATGTTTCCAGGCCAGCCTTGGCTACATAGTAAGTTCCAGGCTATCCTAAACTATAATATGTATGGAAAGATTTTGTCTCAAAAACTGGACAACATTAAAGTAAGCCACAAAGTAACTATTTGATCTTAAGAAAATGTACCAATTTGTTCAAAGGGCAATCAATAGCCAACTAGAGGGAACGCCTTTATAGCCACTCCAGGAGGGCAGAGGATGCTGGTTTTGCTATGGACAGTTGAAATTCAGACTACTGATGTCTTTTTGCCTTTGAGTATCTGCATGAGTGTAGATAAACACTATACGATTTCTTTCTTTTGTCCCTGCAACACTGAGGACTGAACTTCTGCTTTGGTCATGGTAGACAAATAGTCTATCATTGAGCTATAGTCCCAACTCTCCATTCATAACCTATTGCCTTATTCCATGTTATTTTTACATTGTCTTCCATCTGAAGGTGGAAGAAATACACATACACACTTTTTTTCTTTTCCTGGTCTAGGATTCTCTTGAGAGAAATGTCTGGTGTGTGTTTGTTTGGCTTGTTTTTATTGACTGACTGATTGATTGATTTTTGAGATATAGTTTTGTATACACCTGACAGACCTGGAGCTCCCTAGGTAGCCCAGGTTGGCCTTGAAATCTTAGCAGATCTCCTACCTCAGCCTCCTTAGTCCTGGGAGTACAGACATGTGCTACTGCATGTAGCTGCTTGCAATATTAAAAAATATTTATTTTATGTGTATGGGTGCTTTGCCTGCATGTATGTGTGTGCACCACATGTGTGCCTAGTGCCTGCAGAGTTCAGAAGAGAGTGTTAAATCTCCTGAGACTGGAGTTACAAATGGTTATGGGCTGCTGTGTTGGTGCTGGGAATCAAAACTGTGTCTTCTGAAAGAACAGCCAATGCTCTTAGCTGCTGAGCAGTCTTTCACTCGCCTAATTTTTAGTGTAAATATTATACTCAGATAGTCATCCTAACGGAAACAAAAGAGCAAATCAACTTCTTATCTAAGTCTACAAGATTAGTAGTGGAAAATCACTGGTTACCAGAAAGAATGAGTATTTTTTTTTTGCTGGAATACCTTGAAATTGTCTTAGTACATATCTTTCTTTACCATTAGAAGAAATTAAATATAGTCTCCTTCTATAACCGTTGATCCCGCTTCCATGGATTTATTCAACTAAAGATGAAAATATTTGGGAAAAATTGGTTTGGGATATATGCAAGCCTTTTCTTTTGTTATTCCCTGAATAGTACAATATAACAACTATTAAAATAGCATACAATGTATTGTGCATTATAAGGAGTGTTTAAAGGAGGCAAAGGATATGTGTATGTTATACGCAAACTCTATGTCATTTTATACCAGGGAGCTTAGTATTCTCAGATTTTGGCATTTGAATTGTGAGGGACCTAAAGTTAATGCCCCGTGGCTCCTGGGAGACAACTGCAAATGTTTGGTATTAGGGGACACAAAGTAGGTTTTGAAGCTCATCACGTCAACTTCAGGAGACACAACTAATGTAGAAATCCTAGCATTCTGCAAAGTGGTCCAAGGCAAATGTTACTAAAAGCAAGGTTTAAACTAAACATTTGTTGTAGAGAAACCAACAGATGCCCAAAGCCAGGCGGAGAACCCAAGGTAGGGACAGTGAGTTTCCAAAAGCCAAATGGGCTGCCAGAGTTTGAGATTCCGTGTGGATTGTGTGGGAATGGCATCTGTGGACTGTAGGCGACTCCACACTGCAGGCCGGAGGTGAGTGGGTCTGAAGTGATCTCTGTGAAAAGGCTTCTCTGTGGGATTCTGCCCATGAGCTGAGCTCTTCTCCACCAGTAGTCAAGGCAAGCAGTGGTGGAGTTTTCCCTCGGCTTAAGCTGTGAACCAGGAGACAGGAGCCTGTGCCATACGCAGTCATCGAGTTCAAATTCTCACCCCAGTACCAGCAAATTGCTGAACAAACAGTAGGCAACCGCTCTGCCGAGGGTGAACTTACAGTCCCAGACTAGTATCCAAGGGAGAAAGAAAGAAAAAAAATGAATAAAAGAGTTTCCTATATAGTGTGACCTCAAAGTTGATTTTCTTTTAACCAGGAAAAGACTTTTAATCTCATAGTTATAAATAATGCTTATTTTTAAATAAATACCCCTAGTGTAAAAACATAAACTAAAGCATAAGTTGAAAGGGAAGTTGTAGAGGCTCCTGCCCGCAAGTTCAGCATATAAGAGGTAGAGGCAGGAGACTCGCTCCAAGATCAATGGTGTCCCAGGTTACAGGCTGAGAGAGACCCTATCTCAATCAAGAAACCAGAGTGAGAGTATGAGAGGGGGGTAAGAAAAGAGGAGGGGGAAGGAGAGAGAAAAATTGGAACACAGGTTTTAATAAAGAGAGAGCCCCAGGGACCATTCTGTGTCTGAAGAAGCCTTGATCCAAGTGCTCTAATACTAAAATGGAAGACACAGGGAACTCCGGGGAGCCAGCAGTATTTTGAGTCTGCTTTACTAGTGGGAATTGATGTCCCGTGACCCACCCGTCTTCTTCTCTTGTAGGTCTCCATGGTTTTTCTAGGTATGGCTCAGACAGCCGCCATATAGCCCACTGACCAGGCTGAAGTTCCTATAGCCTTTAGTCTGGCAACGCAGAGAACCAAAGGGTCCGCCCTGACTTTGGCTTCATTTTCAGGGAACTCTGGCAACCTAATCAAATAACAATATGGTTACTTCCAAGTTATACAACTGATTTTATTTCTTTTAAGACTTCAGTGTTGACTTATCTCACTGTTAATTTATGGTGATATACTGATGGTCTAAAAGGTTTCCATAATTTGATTTGGGGTCAGTTTTTAAATGGCTGTGTGTTTTCGAGCGAACACGCTATCTTTTCTGCCAAGGGCCTCCCGCTGTGTTCTCAATACGGACAACTGCACCATGAGACTCTTCACTCAGCCTTTTGACTCTGAATGGATTGTACTTTGCCCACTGAACTCTTTTTTAAAAAGATTTATTTATTTATTTATTGTGTATACAGTGTTCTGCCTGAATATCAGAAGAGGGTACCAGATCTCATTACAGATAGTTGTGAGCCACCATGTAGTTACTGGGAATTGAACTCAGGACCTCTGGAAAAGAAGTCAGTGTGCTCTTAACCTCTGAGCCATCTCTCCAGCCCGCCCACTGAACTCTTAACTTCTTCAGAGTAGCCCTTTCTTCTGTCTTTGTTTTTTTTTTTTTAACGAGACAGGGTTTCTCTGTTTTGGAGGCTGTCGGTCCAGCCTGGCCTCGAACTCACAGAGATCCGCCTGCCTCTGCCTCCCGAGTGCTGGGATTAAAGGCGTGCACCACCAACGCCCGGCTCTTCTGTCTTTGTTATTCTTTGGTTTTTAGCAACAGTTTAGTCCCTGTTGAATAATTGAATGAGTGACTACTTAAAACTCGGGTTACACTTCTACTCCTACATATTTGGCCCCATGACCTCAGGTTGTTTTCTTCGGTTCTATTTCAAGTGAAAATGTCTAGCTACAAACCAGACATGCTTGACCTGGACAAAAACCTTTCCCAGGCATTTGTCAAGAGCGTCTAGAAGTGTTAAGAGTATACCAGGGGCTTGTCAAAATCAGGGTGAGTTGAATCCAGGGCAACAAAGGCGGTTAGGATAAATGAATCATTCTCTCCTTAAAAAAGCATATTGTCCTTTTATGATATAGTAAAGAAGGAGAGAGGGGGAAAAACAATTTTGGAGTACCAGGAAACTGCATCTCTTGAGAATGTATTTCCCCTTTCTGTTCTGTTCTCCTAAGGGAGAGTTCTGTGTCATTTTCTTGTAGGTAGGGAACTCAGAGTGAGCTGGACAGAGCAGAATAAACCTCCCACACAGAAGTACGGCTGCGTTCCCTAAAGTGTGAGCACTTAGGGGAAAATAGTTTATCTTGACGATACTAAATTGGGAAAAGAAGGAAACGGTAGAATTCATATTAAGAGGAAGCTGAAAGTAACTTGTAAGTTGTGATAAACACCAAGTAATTTTTTAACCTGCAGCTAGAACTGGACATATCTAATGGCCCTCCAGGCTGACTGATGAGAGGTCTCTTCAAGTCTTTCTTAACCTTTTGTGGAACTCAAGGCGCACAGGCCAAGTTTAGCTTGGCCAACTTAAGTACAGTTTATCTTTCAAATTCCTTCTGACCTATGTGAAAGCAGCCTTCGCCTGTTAATTCCTGTTTTGGTTTTTTTTAATAACTTCTTTTACCAAAAATAATTCTCTTGAAGGTCAAATAATTTTCAAACCAGAAGTTTCAAAAGAAGCTAAGCTACATTTCTGCATGAGAAGTTCTTGTGCATGGGTGATTGTCATGCATTCCTGTGTAACGGGCCACTGGACTCTGCTTCATTTTTAGTAAATGAGTACTTAACCTTTTAGGAATAGTTGAAATCAATGTAAAATGTTTGTCTAATGATAGATTTTATTGGAAATATGAGTTTTTTCCTGTTTTTTTGTACTTGAAAACTATGCAGAATATTTACTTAAAACATAATTACCAGCTAGCTTAATCTGGATACAAGGTGAAGTCCCAGTGTCCCATGTGGTTTAACAGGGTTCCAGGAAATTTGGAATATTACTACCCTTATTAAGAACAAAAGTCTGGACTGGGGTTTTATTTTAGCATCTCAGCTTTGTGCTTTTAAACAGCCAGTATCCTCTGCAAACACATTCACTCTGAGGAATTGAAGCTAATGAAAACAAATGTGTCGCTTTTATTCTAGGTTGTTGGTGTAGCCCAGGCCATCAACAAGAAATCAGGAAATGGTGGGACATTCACTGAGAAGGATGAAAAGGTACCAAGAACCCGAGTTTGGCACAATGCCAGCTCAGATAGACACATTCTCTTTATAGCACATGACCTCTGGAGTTGGACATTGCTGAAATGGTTGCTTAAAAAATGTTACTGTTAAAACTGGTGCGAATTTGTGTATGTGGGGCGGGGTGGGGGTGTGCTTCAGTAATAATTAAGGAAGAGGGGCTGTGAATTTAAGAGAGGGGCATGGGAGGAGTTGGAAAGATGACAGAGTGGGATGGAGAGGGGTGTAAAGGCAGAACTTATCTATGAAATTCTCAACCAAATGTTTTTTTTAAAAGAAAGAAACAAAATGATCTGAATTTTAGCAGAATTTCTTTGGCTAGCGGCAGTGCCGGTTTGACTTGAGAGTGCTTGAGTGTCAGCATGAACCCTGAGTTCTCTCCTCACAGAACTACCAGCAAGTCCTCTCCTGAGCTGGGTGCACACAAAGGGTCCCTCTGTGTTTTAGTGATCTCGTACTTTCCATCAGTACTGTACAAAAGTACACGCTTGAGGGAAAACAACAACAATAACAACAACACAGGTTGCTGTGAGCCCTGCACCGTTCACTGGCTGCACACTGGTAAAGCAGATTTCCTAGCTGTATGAGCTTTGCACACGGGCATCGATGTGTAAGCTCAGGAAGGGTTATAGGAATCTAGCTTCCAAGAGGACGGCAGCCAGTGCTATCTTAATTCCCATCCAGCTCCTAGGAAACACATTCCACACGCCACATTGACAAGATTCCTTTCCAGCTCTCCCTTAGGTCTGCCTACACCTCTGTTCCCCGAAGCTTTATGATTTCTCCTATTGAATATGTGGTGTACATTCACCATAGCCTGTTCGTTGTCTCTCTATCACTCCAAGCCACGTTGCTACCATGTTGCTCCTCCAAAAATTAGCGGGTGCTTTTGAATTAGTGGGTGCATTCAAACAAGACAGTTAATTTTGTTTCTTTGACATAGTGGTATTGTCATTGTGTTAGACCCATGTTTTAATTGCTCTAGAGGTGACTTTTAAAGTCAGAACGGTTATCTGTGCTATTAATTACACCAGAATATCCGATAGGAAAGCATGACTATTAGATAAACTTCATGTCCATTATTTGTAGTCCATTAAAATAAAGCTGCCCTTAATAAATATTTAGATTGTATCTTGACAAAATATATCTATTGGTGTGGATAAATCATTCTATCTAATGATTGCTTTAATCATTCATTTAACTGTGAGCGCATCACCCTATTGTAGTATAAAAAGGATTCTAGATTCATATTAAAAAGAATGCATTTGGGGGCTGGAGGGATGGGTCAGGGGTTAAGAGCACTCTGTTCGTCCAGAGGTGCTGAGTTTAATTCCCAGCAACCACATGGTGGTTCACAACCATCCTTAGTGGATTTCTGATGCCCTCTTCTGGTGTAAAGTCATAATCCAGATAGAGCACAATACACATAAAATAAATCAATCTAAAAATTAACAAGAATACGTATTTGGACTAGAATTTGTAATCTTACATGAGACTTTACTTGTTATGTCCAGTATTCTCTTAAATATGAATCTTCATTTGCTTCAATAATAAGGTATGAGCTATTTATTTGGTCCCTCATAGGCTTGAGTCTTAGTGTCATGTACAATCCATACCAAATCTTGTATAGAGAAAAAATTACAATTTGATACAAAATCACCATATCAATTCTTTTTCTCTTCTTTATATGACATAAGAGATTGAACACTTAGTCACCTGCTAGTAGTGTCATTTAGCTGACAGTTTACATGAGTTCCTAATTTTATGCATAGCAAGCCCCTTATATTTTGGTGTTTAACATTTATTTCAACTGCAAGTACATTTATGCTTCAGGCAGTGTTCCTAGACAGTTTTGCAGGCAGGTCCAATCTAGCTGCTGTCATCTTTCTTCTAGGACTTTGCTGCCTATTTGGCATTTTGCGGTATTGTCCTTCACAATGCTCAGCTCTATGAAACGTCACTGCTGGAGAATAAAAGAAATCAGGTAAGTGTGATTTCTAAAGAGAGCACAAAAGCTCATTTTTAAAAACTGTTAAGTTTTTATCTGAATCGTGAATGCACACAGTTGAAATTCAATTCACATGATTCGGTTTTATAAACATTTTAGCTGTTTCTTTCTGATAGTCATTTTTTTCCATTTTCCACGTTCAAAAGCTCCCCACTGTTAGACAGTGGTCTTTGAGAGACTTAGATGGCTTGAATTTGTGTCACTGAATAGAGCTTTTGAGTTGCTCTTCAAGGGACATCTTAGCATCTTTGGTCTTCCCTGTGTCTTTTCCAGCCCTACTTCTTGGACCTACTCTCTGGATTTCTTTTTAATTTGTTGCCAAAGTTGTACTTAGTGTTCTAGAGAGCCACAGTGAACTTTTCTTAAGTTTAGTTCCTGCTAATTCTAATTTGTAGTTACTCTATGCACATATCTGTATTATCTTTGCTATATAACTTAGTTTCCCCCCACATTCCTTAATTTCTTCCTCCGTTTCTTGGACTGTTTGCTCTAATGTAGTCTCTTGTTTCTGCCTCTCACCCATGCTCGTAGCTGTCATTTTCCTAGGGTTCTTGGCACTTTAGCAGTATCTGGTATGAGTTCCAACTTATAAAGTGGGCCTTAAATTCAATTATAAAAAAAGGTGGTTGGTTACTTCTACAACATTTGTACCACTATCACACTATGCCGTGCAGACAGGTCACTGTTGTAGGTCTCAAGGTTTTCAGTTGGGTTGTAGTGATGCTTACTTTCCTCCTCTGGTAGCATATATTATAAGTCTAGAATGGTGAATGCTAGTCAGTAAGAGTGAAGCTTCTATTTGGGCACCAACTCAATTTCGGTTTTCATGTCCTACAATGTAAGTTGTATCATCAGCAATAGGACCTTAACTAAAGTAACCAAAAGCCTCTTTGATGATTAGCATTTTAGACCATAGTACCCTTTTGACAATGACTCAATAGGATGCAACCCGTTTCTAGCACTGGAGGTTTTGTTTGGTGGCATAAGATGTCTAGTTGGGGCATTCTTTACCCATTATATAGTGAATCCATTTAGTTACCTTTCACATATTTTTATTTTACGTTAGTTTGCCTTCATTTCCCATATTCCCTCCTTTACCTTGCCCTCCTATTCCCCCTCATCATTTAACCCTCCTATTCTAGCTTCCCTTTTATCTCTTTATAACACTATATTCTATTTCTCCTTCCTTGGAATATGCCCTACTCCGTCTTTATCTCTTACTAACTATCTACCCTCTGGTTATAGTTGGCTAGAAATATACATATATAAAGCTTAAAAGCTATCATTCATATGTAAAAGAAACCATGTAGCATTTGTGTTTTGGGGTCTGGGTTACCCCACTCAGGATGACTGCTTCTAGCTCTATCCATTTATCTGCAAATTTCAAAATTTCATTTTCTTATCAGCTGAATAACATTCCACAGTGTAAATAAATGAATGCACCACATTTTCATCATCGATTCATAGTTGATGGGCATCAAGGCTGTTCCCAGTTTTTGTCTACTACAAGTGGAATAACCATGAATACAGAAGAGCAAGTGTCCCTGCAGTAAGATTTACAGTCCTTTGGGTATAGTCCCAAGAGCAGTAGAATTTGTTCTTGTGGTAGATGGATTTTCAGCTTTCGGAGGATCTGCCACACTGATTTCCATAGTGGTGGTCTCGGTTTGTATTTCCCTTGCCCTACTACCTGTCCTGTCTTCTGGCTCTGTTTAGTGCTACAGCCCATTTTTAAATTGGTTTGTTTTCATAATGTTTAATTCTTTTAGTTCTATATATTTTCTAGACACTAACTCCCTACCAGAAAATTAATAAAGATTTTCTCATTCTGTCGGCTGCCACTTTGCACAATGCTGTCTTTTGCTGTACGGAAGCTTTTCAGTTTCATGAGGTCCCATTTACTAATTGGTGAACTTAGCACCTTTGCTAGCTGTGTGCTGTTCAGAAAGTTCTTTCTTATGCCAATAAGTTCAAGCTTATTCCCCATTTTCTCTTCCATCAGATACAGGGGATCTGGTCTTATGTTGAGGTCCTTGATCATTTGAAGTTGAGTTCTATACAGGTTTCTATAGTATATATAGTTTCTGTGGTCCTATGATTCTCTGGATTTTCTCAATATCAGCTATATTATCCCTTTTTATCTCTAGTTTTATGAATTTGGATATATCTCTGTCCTTTGGTTAATTTGGATAAAGATTTGTGAATCTTATAACTTCATATTATAAGTATGGATTCTCTTTTCATTTTTTTTACATGCAGCTAAACAGGTTGACTTAGCACCACTTGTTGAAGGTTCTGTCCTTTCTCCATTGTGTAATTTTAGCTTCTTTGTAAAACATCAGGTGACATTGGTGTGTGAAATTATTTCTGGGTCTTCAATTTTATTCCATTAATCAATGTGTCTGTTCTTATGCCAAATACCATGCTGTTTTAATTATTATCACTCTGTAGTACACCTAGAAGTCTGGAATGTTGATACTTTTATTATATAGGAGTGCTTTACCTATATTGTTTTGTTTGGCTTTTCTCTCTTTGTGTGTTTCTTCATGAAGTTTTGTTTTGGTTGTTCCAATTTCTGTGAAATATCGTGTTGGAATTTTGATAGGACTTGCTTTGAATCTGTAGATTGCTTTTGGCAAGATGGCCATTTTCACAATATTAATCCCATCAATCCGTGAGCATGGGGAATTTTTTTTCATCCTCTTATGTTTTCTGCAATTTCTTTCTTCAGTGTCTTAAAGTTTTTGTTACACAAGTCTTTCGGTTGTTTGGAGTTATTCCAAGGCATTTGTTTTTGAAGCTATTATGAAAGATATTGTTTCATTGATTTCTTTATCAGTATGTTTGCCATTTGTATATAGGAAGGCTTCAGATTTTCATATATTAATTTTGTATTCTACTTTGCTGAAGGTGTTTATCAACTATAGATGTCTCCTGGTGGAGTCTTTGGGGTCTTTTATGTATAAAATCATACCATCTATAGATAAGAATACTTCGGTTTCTTCCTTATCTGTTTATATCCTCTTACTCTCCTTTAGTTTTCTTTTTGCTGTAGCTAAGATTTTTTTGAGCGCCATATTGAACAGGATTGGAGAGAGTGGACTTTGTCTTATTCCTGTTTTTAAAGGAAATGCTTTGAGTTTTCTCTGTTTATGGCAATTTGGCTGTGGGCTCACTATAAATGTCCTTTATTATGTTCTGTCCCTGTATCCTTAGTCTCATTGAGGTTTTTTATTATGAAGGGATGTTGTATTACATAAAAGGCCTTTACTTCATTAATTGAAATGATCATGTGGTGTCTGCTCTTGAGTCCATTTCTGTTGGACTCACATATGCTGAACCAATCCTGCATCCCTGGAATAAAGGGTACTTTATCATGATGGATAATCTTTTGATGTGCTCTTGAATTCAGTTTGCAAGTATTTTATTGAGAATTTTTGCATCTATGTTTGTAAGGGATACTGACCTATAATTTTTTTTTGTTGGGGCTTACATGGTTTTGGTATCATGGAAATAGTGGCTTTGTAAAAAGAATTAGGTTATGTTCCTGCAGTTTGTGTTTTGCAGAATAATTTGAGGGATGTTAGCATTAGCTTGTCTTTGTTGGTCTTATAGAATTCTGTTCTGAAACCATCTGGCCCTGGGCTTTTTCAGTCAGGAGATTTTAAATTACTGCTTCTATTTCACTTGGGATTTTGGGTCTTTTTAAGTTTTTATTTCATCTTGAATTAACTTTGGTAGGCCATATATATCAAGGAATTCATCCATTTCTTTTAGTTTTTTTCCAGTTTGTAATATAGTTTTCTGTAGTATATATAGTTTCTACAGTCCTATGACTCTCTAGATTTCCTCTATGTCAACTGTAATATCCTTTTTTATCACTAACTTTATTAATTTGGATCTATCTCTGTCCTTTGGTTAATTTAGCTAAAGATTTGTGAATCTTACAAATTTTCTCAAAGAATCAACTCTTTGTTTCACAGATTTTTGTGGTATTCTGGTTTCTACCTCATTGTTTTTTTTTTTTTTCATGATGAGTTTGTTTCTTCCAATATGTTCTTTTTTATCTTATTTTTTAGCATTTTTAAGTATCATATTAAGTTATTAATATGAGATTTCTCCCTGTTTTTAATGTAGGCAGTTAGTGGTATGTACTTCCTAGAACTATCTTCATTGTGTCCTATAGGTTTGGGTATGTTGTACTTTCATTTTCATTCAATTCTAAAAATGTTTTAAATTTCCTTCTTGATATCTGTCTTGATTCAATTTTCATTCTGTAGTGAGTTGTTTAGCTTCCATGAGTTTGTATATTTTTTGCCATTTCTCTTGATGTTGATATCTAGCTTTAATCTATGGTGGTGAAATAGGATGAAGGACATTTGTCTTAGTTACTGTTCAATTGCTTTGAGGAGACATCATGACCTTACAAAACTCATAAAAGAAAACATTTAATTGGGGGCTTGCTTACAGCTTCAGAGGGTTTGTCTACTATCATCATGGCAGGGATCATAGTGGCAGACAGACAGGCATGCTTCAGCAAAATAGCTGAGAGTAGAAGAGAACATCTTTTCTTGGCAACAGGGAGGGAGGAAGAAGGGAGGGGAGAGAAAGACTGGGCCATGTCCACCCCAGTGACATACCTCCTCAAACAAGGCCATACTTCCTCAATAGGGCCATTCCTCCTAATCTTTCTCTAAATAGCTGACCAACGAGGGTCTGGACATCCAAATATATGAGCCTTTTGGGGGCCATTCTCATTCAAACCAATGCAGTGTCATTTCAATTTTTTGGTATCTGTTATTCTAATGGGCCTGACTTGATTGGTGAGTTGGTCTTTTCCCTTGCAGGTTTTAGTATCTTTTCTTTGCTTCTGTACTTTTAGTGTTTTGATTATTGTGTGTCTTAGGGAGTTTCTTTTCTGGTTCTGTCTAATTGGTGTTCTTTATGCTTATTTTATATTGAAAGGCATTTCTTTGTTAAGATTTAGGGAGTTTTTCTTTGAATTTGTTAAAAATATTCTACACACAACTACATCATAAGCTGTAACCTTTTCTCGTCTAGGTATTGCTTGACCTTGCTAGCTTAATTTTCGAAGAGCAGCAGTCATTAGAAGTAATTCTGAAGAAGATAGCTGCCACCATTATCTCCTTCATGCAGGTGCAGAAGTGCACCATATTCATTGTGGATGAAGACTGCTCTGTGAGTATGGAGTGTAACTGGTTTTTGCAAGACGGAAACGCATTCTTGAAAGCACTTCCTGCTTTCAAACCCAGTTTTCGCCTTAGAGCCCACCCCAGTTCCAACTGTATATGAATATTTATGCAAGACACAAACAAACGTGAAATGTTTTTGAAATGGAGTGGAAGTGAGAGTGGTAAGAACCTTCAATGCCCTGCCACTGACCATGGATGTCTGTGTGCTGCCCCTGACAATGGCTGCTCTGCCGTAACAGGGAGACACCTTGGTCTAGAACTGTGGTGCCCTGGTACCTAAAACCAGTAGACTCCCATTCTGAATGGGTTGAGAATGAAATTTTCTTTCTTACCAGAAATTATTTAGGAGCCAGGAGGTCTAGGTGGGTGGTGGGTAGAACTAAAGGTATTTGTAAGTCCTACGTCATTTACCAACAACAAGAAATGGCTTCCCATTCATAGATTTCAGCCCATGGATCTATACTGTTAGAAAGTATAGCCGGGCGGTGGTGGCACACGCCTTTAATCCCAGCACTCGGGAGGCAGAGGCAGGCGGATCTCTGTGAATTCGAGGCTGGGCTGGACTGACAGCCTCGGAAACAATAAATACAGAGAAACCCTGTCTCGTAAAAACCAAAAAAAAAAAAAAAAAAAAAAAGAAAGTATAGAATGGGTGCATTGATTAGTATAAAATTCTTCTTAATAGCTTATCAAATAAAAATTCACTGTACCGAAACAAGAACCAGTATTTTCACAGAGAGCTACTAATTCATATTTCTATTCAGATAGTTATAATTTAATATAAATTGATTACAAAATAGTTGCTAGCTTTTTATCTTACTTATCTATACTGGTGAGAGGACTGGAGCTTTCTCATAGGGCTGTTTACTTGTACTTGAATGTTATGTGGAGTTCCTACCTTGTGCTTGCCTGGGAGTCAGAGCGCTGACTTACCACAGTTTTCTTTATGCAGATTTTATCTCTCATCACTGTATGAACCAGTGGAATATTCCTTATGGTGGGAATTGTTTCCTCCTATAGTTTAAGGTTATTAGGAAAAAAGAATAGTACTGTCACTTGGATATGTCAGTTATAATTCATTTATGAAATTCGAGTTGTCATTTCTGGCAGAAGTAGAATAACAAAAGATATTCAGTCATTTAGATTTTTAATTGGCTTAGATATTAAGATAATTCATTATCCTCTGAATTATTGTGTGTATTAGAATGGGTGCATTGTTTAGTATAAAATTCTTCTTAATAGCTTATGAAATAAAAATTCACTGTACCAAAACAAGAACCACTATTTTCACAGAGAACTACTAATTCACATTTCTTTTCAGTTAGTTATAATTTAATATAAAATGATTACAAAATAGTTGCTAGCTTTTTAAAGTTCAGGTCAGATTTCATTAATTTGATATGGCAATTTATCATTTTCCTTCTGTGTTCCGCTCTTTAGCATTTAAATTTTTAAAGTTTTCTACATTTGCATTCCTTTAAAAAGAAACTGAAATCTCACTTTATTAACACTCAATGGAATTTTTAACAGTAAAATATTTATCAAGGTAACAAGCTGTTACTTTAGATCAGTGTGGCCCTTGGCTCAACAGTATGGCTAAGGATATGCTCTCTTTGGAAGCTATACATTGTTAGCTTTAGGCGACAAATTAGTTGAGGTGATGTTACAGTTATTTGTGGTTTAAAACTACTTCAACATGAGTGAAATTAAAAATGTAAGATCCCTTCAAAATATACTCCGTTCTTCCACTTCCAGAGTACACTTCTGTTTCTCTCATTCAGTTGTAAGTGCAACAGGGAGCAATATGAATCCTGTTTTGTGATGTAATGCAAAACTATTTCCTGATATCACTGTCTTCATAATTATTTTATTGTTCTTGTGAAATATTTCCAAGTGGTATAGCTCTTTAGGAAAGAATTCTTTGTGCTAGGGAAATAACTGAGCCAGCAAAGCTCTGGCCTTGGAAGCCCAAAAACCTGAATTTGATTATCAGAACAACGCCAATGTGTTGGTGCAAGCTTGTAATACCAGTGCTTGGGAGGCAGAGATGGGATCCTTAGAGCTCGTCAGTCAGTCAGTCAGGATGGTGAGCACCAAGTTAAAGGAGGTTGACAACATTCCTGAGGGTGACACCAGAGGCTGTCCTCTGGCCTACACACATTCATTCTCTCTCTCTCTCTCTCTCTCTCTCTCTCTCTCTCTCTCTCTCTCTCTCTCTCTCTCTCTCTCTCTCTCTCTCATGAACACACACATGCACATGAACACACACACACACACACACACACACACACACACACACACACACACAGAGGAACATATCCATAAAGAAAATGTGTGGGGTTTACTAGCAGCTGAAGTGTGTACTCAGAAAGCTCTTTAGAAGTAAAATGAGAAGTGGTTTGAGCCTTTAGTAATAGAAAGCATATTTGAGGATGCTGTTAATTATGTGCTTGGATCCGTTTAGTTCAAAAATATGGAAATATGTTCAAACACTGGCATCCTCAATGTTGTACAGCATGTATGTGAGTGGCGTGGCTTTCATTGTTTGTCAAATGTCTCAACCCGGGTTGTTATTCTGTTTTCAGGACTCTTTCTCTAGTGTGTTCCACATGGAGTGTGAGGAATTAGGAAAATCATCTGATACTTTAACAAGGTAAAATAACTTCTCTATTGGTCTTTATCACAGTGTATCGTGCTGCTAAATAATTGCCTTGTTGCTAGTGTGACTTAAGGTGTATGAGTGACAGGCTGTCTCCCTGCAAAGATAATTTTTATTTCTCAGAATACACTTTTGATATTATTATGCAAGAATTTTCTATTATATTGACCTGAGAATTATTTCTTATAGCAAATAATACTTTAATTAGTACAGGCCTCATTCTATTGCCTGTATGAACTCATTAGGTTAAGACCCACAATTACTGTTCTTCAACTATATTTTTGTTTGCATATATGGGAATACCATAGATTCCCTGACAACCCTTTCTGTATATCTATTCTGAGTTATAATCAGCCATGAGAATTTACCTAGTAACAGGAGGAGGATGAGAATTCTAATCTTAGAAATCTGTGTTCCCCTTCTGGGCTAGATCAAACCAGATCTATCCATCCAGTTCTTTCTCATAGTTTCTAAATATATGCTCCCTTGTCTGTTAATTGCTCTTACAGTGAAAAGTGTGTGCTGTGTTTGCACGATGGAGGAGACAGGTGTGGTTATCCTCATCTGGCAAGTGCTTTCTGGAAGTTTTGAAATAGATTTAGGGCAAGCTACTAAATGCTCTTAATATGTTTTTCCACCCACACCTAAAAACTATATTGTTCTCTTAAGGGATAGGTCATTCTAAAGGATAAAAATTTACCAAGATGAGTTACCTGAAATTCTTAGGTATTTATCATAGTTTTCATTTCTTAAAAAATTATATGTATATATACACACATATGCATATATATCATTTGATTTTGTGATGCTGTAGCAACTTTGTTGCTTTTGTTACTATATATAAATATGAGTAAGTATGCATTCATTATTATATATAATTGCCTTTATCTCCATAGGACAAAATGAATCATATGATGCTTGTTAGAAATCTAAAACAAATTATCTAAACTTACCTTTTAGTATTAATGAAGCAGCATGCATCTGTATAATTAAATTTTTATATTGACATTTTAATTTTTATTATAAATTCAACCCAAATCCTCTAATATCTAGTGACAGCTGAACAAACCTAGTGTCTTGTGTGATAGTGACCTCTGCTGGTAAATAGACATTTTTCAAATAGCAAAAGCCAAGATTTATGTTTGATTTCTTTTTGATATGTTCTCACTGTAGGCCAAATGGAATAAACTTTACCATTTATAATTATGTAACATTTTACATCATTTATAAAATATTTTATAAGGGATAAATATGCTACTGTGATTGTTTTAAAAGAGACAAATCCTAACTGATTTTTAAATTAATGTTATGGTAATGGAAACCATTCACTATCAATGACTTTTGTCAGCCTGTCATTTCAAAGTTTGCTTTTATTCTGATGATGCACTCAAAGACCATTCATTCATTGGATAAAATTATTTTAAATGGCTTTTAATTAAAATTAGATATCTGGCTTAACTTTAGGAAAGGTGAATTATAAAAGATGTTTAGTAACTAACATTTTGAGAAGGTGTTAAGTTGATATTGACACTTTCTGTTTACTAGCCAATTATTTGACTTCTAGAATTGATTACTGTTGTTACAGTGATTTGGCACTCTCTACTTCTCAGTATTAAACACTGCAGTAGTTCAAAACTCACCCAGGAGATGAAATGCCATGCGATGTATGTTAATAGTCAAGTAAATCATTTTCATTTTTAAGCTCGTTATCTATTGAGTCAATATTATGGGTCTTGAGGCTAGGGATGCAAGCCAATTGATAAAGTTCTTGCCAAGCATGCACAAAACCCTGGGTTTGATAGAGAACACAGCGTCAACCAGGTGTGGTTGCACACACTTGGAATCCTAGCACTCCAGAGATGGAGGTGGTGAGGCGGTAGCATCAAACAGTTACCCTTAGCTCCGCAGACTATTCAAAGTCAACATGGACTAGAGACCTTGTCTAAAATAATAAAAGATAAAAATTCACGGCTGCTATGGATCATTATTTTATTTGATATGTTTAGGTAATATATTGACCACAGCTTTGAAATGTTAGATATCAAAATATAAACAGCTATTCTGGTGAACCCTGTGTATCTTCATTAGAATTGCCACATTAGTAGGATGAGGTTAGTCAGTTCTTGGGAACTAGCTTATCACTCAAGATTCCAGAAGTGGAGTGCATTTCCAAATGGTGGGTGGGTTCCTTTCTGTGCTGTTGATATGGAGTTCATGTTAATCCTTTATTTTAAGTAGACATTTTAGTCTTGCCATTCCATCTGTGTAATTTTTATGGTTTTTTAAATTAATATGCCTTTTAAGTATGACATGAGAAACACTTAGAATTACTTTTTCAAATTCGTCTTGGAATATATATATTTGGAAAAACAAATATAGTTCAATTGAAGAAAAACTCCAATGCCAAAATAACTGGGCATCCAGTGGAGGAATGTAGAATATAGTAGGGTGTAATTAACTTTAGGTTTTGATGCACACTAATTGTTGTGCAAATTATTTAACCCTTGAAGAGTCAGTGTCTTCCTCTGTAATGATCAAATTGTGGTAAAGCTTGAAAGAGCCTAATGCCTATAAAATTTCTTCAAGAACCTTCCAAGTAGCCTCTGTAACTGCTGTCCTGGTTTTGGTTTATATCGGTCTGCAGTGGTTCCTATGGACTTGTGAAGTTCGGAAAGGCTTGTCTTCCCCCAAATCCCCTACCCCTGCTTTCTCAAGGATTTTCTCTCATGCATCTCTGTAGATGGAAGTTTCTATCCCGCCCAATCCGGCTGCCCATTTAGTCCCGAATAAACACACCGAGGCTTATATTAATTATAAACTGTTGACCAATGGTTTAGGCTTCTTAATGACTATCTCTCTTAATTATTAACCCATAACTATTAATCTATGTATTTCCATGTGGCCTTGTCTTACTTGAGAATGCCTGGGTGTCCTATCTTCCCAGTAGGTACATGGAGCCTCTGTCATGACTCACTCTCTACGGTCCTCTTCCCAGCCTCCTCTTAGTCTGTAGCCCTGCCTATACTTCCTGCCTGCCTACATCCTGACTGTCCATTGGCTGAAACAGCTTTATTCTTCAGCCAATAAAAGAAACATATATCCACAGCATACAGAAGGACATCCTCATCATCTCCTCTTTTCTGTGTTTTTCAGCTCTGTTGATATCCACTATGGAAATGTTTAAATGCAGGACTTAGCCAGTCTCTTTTAAAAGGAGAGGCCAAGACCTTTTTAAATGGGTAGAGTTTAGTAGGTAGTGCACTCTCGGAAAATAAATGGGAGAATGTTGTGGGGGAGGCTAGTACTGAGCTACCAGGTCAGCAGTCTGAGGGATGGGAGAAAGCACGAAGGAAGGTTGTATGCTCATGTCTCAGCTGTGAAGTCTAAGGAAAGCCGCGCGAGTCTGTTGGGGAGACTTGTCGCTGATGTTTCTTGGCTGTAGAATCATGGGTCTTGGAAGAACAGTTTTGATTTAGTGTCCTGGTGGGCTCAGTCTTTGACAGCCCTGGGAGGCATGGCCTGGAATATGGGCTCTAGAGATAGGCTACATACATTTCCTACCCCTTAATCTCTTAAGTTGTTTTTCAAGGCCACCATGATGTTGCTGTTATACAAAGGATGACATCCATATTCAGTGTATTACACTTTGAAAGCCTTCAGTATCTATGCTATCTAGCCAAACATTTTTGGCCAAAAACACCTGCTTTATTATTTTTTCCAGATATTTATTTTTTACTAAGACTTTCCCAGAGGACATAACTGACCTTGCCACCACACCCACTCCCCCATGAAGGGTCTGTGTACTCACTCCTACAAAGCAGACCCAAACAGTTTCAAGGGCTGGAATCAACCTTAACTGCCAAGGAACACTTTCTGTCTGAATTATCATAAAAATGTTTAGGTAAAAAGAAAGAAAGGAAAGGAGCAAAGGGGCCAAAGAGACGGCTGAGATCGCCAGACTATCGATAAAATCAGGCAACTGACAGACATCATATGGGATGGAGGGACTGTTGGGATTCATTGTCTTTAGATGTTCTTTATGCATTTTGCAAACACCTTGCCTGCACTCATTCACAGACTCACAGCGTAAATCCTGCCTCCTGGACCTCTTGGCAAGGCTGTACCAGCAAAATGGCGTGAGGCATCGCGCCAAATACTTTGCCGCAGCTGCCACTAACACTGCTGTCTCCACACACATGAGCTCAGCCTCCGGCTTTATTCTTGATAATCTGTTAGATGTTTCTCATATGTATGTAGAACTTATTCATGTCAGCAATGTGTTTTATATTGTCACGCTTTTATTTTTCTGCTTATTTTTCTTTCCTTGTTTCTTTTTCCCATCTTAATGCTCGGTTAACTGTGTAAGCATTTCTGTAATAATGCCATCTCTTTCCTAAGTCGATCCATTTGGATACTGTCTTCCCATCTTCTCCACATGTCATGTTTGCACTGTTACCAGTAGTGTTTAGGAGGGTTAGTTTTGGTTGTGAATCATGAACACACAAAATAAAAAAAAAAAAGCTTAACCAAGAATGCAAAATGGTGTCCTCTATATATGACAGGGAAACTGTACCTATGATCATAACAGTATGCTCACCTAAATAAGACCTGCATAATGATAACACCCATTGACAGGCCAGCATAGGTGGGGGAAATCTCACATGGTCCCACTCCTAGGTGAAGAACTATAGGCAATTAATCATTGCTAAGAAAGGGAGAAACACTATTCTCTAGGAATGAGTTCCTGATAGGTTATGCAATCCCAAGTGATCAGTCCTAAACACATACATAGGAGAAACACTAAACGGACTTGGCAGGTTGTATTTATATACACATATGTATATATGTAGCAGCAATAAGAAGTAGTCATGAGCTTGAGAGTAGCTGGGGGAGGCACAGATGTTAAATAGGAAGAGGTAGAAATGATGCGATTTCAGTACCCATGTAGGAAATTCTCAATTAAAAACGTATACACTTGAAAAGAATGCCATCTT